TATTTACCATCGGATTGAGTACAATGGAACTAGATAATATAGATACGTTTACGAGCTAACATTAGCGTAGATTACTTAGTATCAATAACCGGTGAGATTTGTTGTAATCTTAAATAGTCTACTGAAGAACAACTACTAACACGATGTAAGGCACGGGAGGAGGCGGGAGAGATATACATTTATATGTACATATTTACATTTGAGAAATGTATTATGACTATTTAAAATTATTCTTTTAGTATAAAAAAATGTTCGTTTATTTATAAGAACCAAATGTATAATTTAAATAAATTACAGAAATAAGCTATCACTAGCATTTATTGTTTATTGTCGAGATAAAATATCATCTTTCCGTGAACACGATAACTGTAATATTAACCGAGATGTCGTTCATTAATGTGCAACAATCATTAAAAACATTTACTTAATTAATTAGTACATTACACAATCAGCTGGCTCATGTACCACAACAAACTAATACAGATAACGAAACAGACGAGTTAAGAAAACGCAGCATCCCACGATCCCATGAGATATGGCAAATATTAGTGCAATAACCAACAAAAGGATTATATCTATTTGCCTTTTTATTGGGTCGTTCGGCGGCAAAGTTATCTGTTTACGCACGGTATCTTTGAATTAACTAACTCTTGGGTAAATTAGTCCGCAGAGGTTGGAAGTGTTAGTTTGGTTTATAACATATATCTGTGTGTGTGTACAGTTTTAACTATTAACGAATTATAAAATACAAATTGTATTTACTATACACATACACACCCACACACACATACATAGTAATCATATGCGAGGGTCTGACCACGGAACAGATCCTGTAGGAGTTAATCTACACCATTATTAACAAAGAAATTGGACATAAAGCCAATCTTATATTAGGATATAATCCGAGCGTCACAAAGCAATGTGCCGACAACACTAATTCCGACGATAACCATTACAAACTCTATTAAAACGAAACATAACGTATTTAGGGATGGGACAGATCGACAAAAGGTAAACAAACTCTATTAAAACAAAACATTACAGGGATGGGACATGTCGATAAAAGGTAAACAAGTTTTATCGACACAGACCGCAAAAAACGCGGAGTCAGCGAAGACGGTTAAAACAGCGCTCTAAATACCAGCTATTACAATATTTGCTAGAATCTCGTTATTTTTAAGTATCCGTCATGGCTTCCCAAAGTTTAGGGTTTGGCAACGCGTTAGTGTGATAATGTACTACGAAATGTTATAAAATAATAAAACAAACGCCGCGTTGTATGTACAGGTTGATACCTTTTTGTGTTAATAGCTGTTAGCAGGGTTATCTTTCATGAAACAATATTACAGCTTATATAGACTATAAAAACTACATTTATCAGGATTGTAGCGAAGCGTGATTATAAAACTCATAATTTCTTAAAGTTTAAAACAAAATATGACATTCAGTAAGAACATTCATATAATAAATAATTGCTGAAACAATGTACATTTATCTGTTAGGATGTAATTTACGGAAGTTTGAGGATCACAGACCACCGACTGCGCAGCGTCATAGCGCTGTAAATTATAATGTTTTATGGGTTAATACTGCAGATAAGGAGGGTATGGAGGGTAAGCAGGGTAAGGAGGGTAAGGAGCCTATTATTAACAGTGTTAACGGGACGGGCTACTAAGGGCGGTTTTTGGGTTTTTCTGAACTATAAGTACAGACTTACATAAGTTTAATTTTTTACATTAATTTAATGCACCCGTGATTGACTGGAAAAACTATGAATGACCTCTTTACTACATATTTTCCATATTTTAAACTATATCATTAATATCACATCTTCAATAAAAACTAAAAGGTATGTATTAAATAAAATGAAGTATTTTGTATGTGTGAGGTCACCCTTAGATGTGATTTTTAACGAGGCGTCCCGTAGTATGTAATTGTCTTTGAACGGCACGGAATGACTATTTATGTCTCGCGGCGGGCGCTGACATTATTTTTTATCGTTTTTCACTCGTCTTAGAAAGAATTTTATTAAAAAGTTTATGTTTTAATATTCAAGACACATGTAAGTATATCAATAATTATTATGAACAAAGTTCGACGAAATACTAACACAGCATTATGTATTGTAACATAACCATATATAAAAATACAAAAACCAGCAGCCGTTAATGAAATCGTAAATCGCGGCGGTGGTTTGGCTACCGGACTGTTGGCCAACATTTTTGTGGTGACACTTCAATCATCTGCGCTTTGCTGGGATTTTTAACTAATATTATATATCGTATTAACAATTAACATACAAATTATACTGTTAACAATTAATTAATCAGATATCCCATTTATTTATTTATTGTTGTCAAATATTTTATAACAATTACATGAGTCTAGTTTTAAATATTTTTATAGGAAAATATAAGTGACAATATAATTTTGTTTCATTTTAAATGTTGTAAGTGTTACATTCGATTGATCACCGCTCGACCATAATCAGTCTTGCCCGGAACTGTTCCAACAACTTACAGAAGATCGTTGTCAAGTGGATCCCATACTCTGAGGAAGATGACGCGATATAACCATAGGTGGCCTTGGAAGATTTTTATTATTTAATGTAAATTAGACCCCTTGGTCGTCGTAGTATGCTAATTTCTTAAAAAGAAAGTATTCCTTTCGCTGAATACTTTTAAATAATCTAGCATAACTAATAAGTATAAAACAAAACGATTGTTTATCTTACAAAGAGAAATCAAAATAGTCACGAAATAAAAACTAAACCCAATCTCTAAACGAGCCGTGAGCCGTGAATCACAACACAGCGTCATCTATGACACACAACCAAAAATTAAATCAGACTTAAACCAAAACGTAACAGATTTATACACTCGACGCTAACACACTTTCACATGTCAATGGATTCGCGTAAAAGCCTAAAAAGCCGAAAAATAAAAAAAAATGGCTCACAAGCTCGCGTACATGCATCTTTTTCAGTCGGCTGACAAATGGCTGCGAAACGCAGGATGAGTCGCTCCGATGAAAAATCATTCACAAATTCTGACGCCGCTCGCTTAGCCGGCCCGCCCCGGACACTTTTTAACCGAGCGCCATCAATAAAAAAGCCAAAAAGCCGAGAAAAAACACCGTGACGTCACGAGCTTCGCGCCAACACCGGTGAGCGAATAAATCAAGCTCCGCTAGCATGGAGTCGGCTCCACCGAATTGTGGCGTTTTATAGCCTTTTGATTTACACTGCCACTATTGCCGAATTTTAATGCATACGATAACCCGCCGGTAAATAAAACGTAAAAGTTGTTCAATGAAACACGATTGTTTCGTTTTGTTCCTCGCACTTCACACTGGGAATTTGTTTATAAACTCTGTCGCGTGTCGACATTCACAAATTTCACTTACAATTTTTATTTAAATTATAATTTAGATTTTTTTTTTTGAGAATTATCATTGAAATGACTTCTGTTGTGGTGTGTACATATGTATTGTGTATTATATAAACAAATCGATTGTGATAAAGCTGAATTTTACAACAATTAACATGAAATCCACTCCATCTTTATCCAACCGCTGACTTTGACGGACACGGACGCATCACGCCCGATCAACTGGTGTCCCGCGGCCCACCGCTTGCTCACTCATTCACTCTTCCATTCATTCACTCACTCTGACGGTTTCGAGTGATCACAGATCAGCTTTCGCAGCCCTTTTTTTATGCGAAACTGATTTCAGATCGTTTTTTTAACGACGCTGCCTTTTGAAGTGTTTATAATTCGAACCGGATTTAGCGACTCGTGTGATGTGGACCCACCATCAGGAAGAATATTTAAGAAACAAATTAATCAATCATTATCGTCAATTAAATCAGATGATGCAACGTAACATTCAATACAGCCTTTCACAGATCTGAAATCTCCACTTTAAGTCTTACGTTAATCAATTTAATATCACTACCTATATTAAATATGATAACAAAGTTATACCTATATATCGCTGTTAGTATTTATTTCCAACATAAACATATCTTCATAATTATTTCTATAATAATAAGTCCTCAGATTATTCCATATATTTTCTGTATCGTGCAAAACAAAACGTAATGTTCCTCCCCTATTTTCCCATTACCGAACTCTTGTATTATAATATCATATATTACAAATACCAAATACCCGAGTAATCGAAACGTTATCATCAAGAAAACGTCTTAACTACTCGACGTCTGTATTCCGCACACGTCTCCTCGACTGATTGACACGAGACGTCCGTTCCTTCCCCCTGCACCTCCCTTCACCATCTACTTATAGCCAGGGGGTACCCCCTTGACGTGAGCAAGAAACATGTGAAAAATGTCATTAATGCACACCACCATATACGTAGTTATGTAAAGAATACGCTGACTTCGTAATTATGATTTTTTTCATATGTATATTAATACGTATTGGTTAATGATATCGATCCCAACATAGTGATAGTTTGAAGGATTTTATCTGATTAAATTGAACGTTTTAAGTTAAAAAATCACGCGATGTAAATAAAACAGTGTGTAGTGCAATTTGGGAGACAGGGGCGGACTCAAAAGTTTGTTAATTTGGACTAGCAATTGGATTTGGTACGCGCGGACGTCGAAGCGTACATAAGTTTGAATTGCTTGCAGTTTAGAATAAATAGCCGCTCACAGAGAGGCACTAAACGGTTTTGTTTTCAAAAACTAAACTACACCAGGATAATCATATAAGTCATTATAAATATAAACCTGAACAACAAAATCAACGTATGAATAATGTGTAATTATCTAAAAGGATGAAAAGAATAGAGAAACATTTTTGTATGAAACCTCAGTACGATAAAGATATCAGACGAATGTGTGTTAATAAGCGCCAGGCTGCGTGATACAAGCCGTCAATATAGACGCAATAACGCAAAACTCCAAACAATAGACATTAATAAGAGCGAATAACGCTAGGCGTTCGCTAGCTGTAGCGTCCGGGATGCGCTTATTAAAACATTTCACCCGGGCAATATCTGGTGATAGCGGGACGTGCACAATATGTGCCGCAAACTCCGTCCGCATGTGACGACCTGTGGGAATCGCGGCCGAGAAACTTCATTAACTCCAACTGCCCCCATCCCGCTTCCAGGGGCCACCCGGTGACGGACGGGGACGGCCGTCCGCTTATTACGTCTCGAACGTGCCGCGAAAATCGAAGAAATGTGACGCAAATACGTGAAGCTCCGAAGAATCGTCCCACTGATTGGGCGGGCTTTGTGCTCGGCTGACCGTTTAATACGATCTGTATCTGGACGGGGCCATTTTTAGGATTATTATATGCCATCAGTTTTATTGGGTGATTGCATCGTATTTAAGTGAACGCTTTTCGTCACCACATAAATAAACATTGAACTGAATACAAAAAAATGGTCAATAAGATATTCCGTTCTGTTCAATGTGCAGTCACATCGGACAAAACAATACAATCTGATGATTTTGCGATTGCATACGAAATAGTCCGAAATAAATGGCTATCAATATATCACAAGCCCTACCGAGTTACGCTAAAAATAAACATTTTTTTCCCATTTCATCCCGCTTCAATTGCATTCTGTGATCCCTCAATCAAACCGAGCATCGTGAAACTATCGTTTATTCAAACGGACTACAATTCGGCTCTGTCGTGGTACATTTGATTCACGTCATTTAGCAGGAATTTCAAATCACCTTTCTTGAAGATGGTAGGGTAACGTCCTCTCGATTACTGAAATATTAAAATTCGAATTGATGAGTAAGATTCGGTTCATTGTGTGTTAATCGTTCACAGCCGTTATCATTGGTTGTAATGTCCAAGTCGTTTCGATACTACACAGTATCCGGTATTTTTTGAACGTTCCTTTTCTCGGAACTGTCGACCACACACCACACACAACACACCACTGTCCGTTGATGTATTGATTTAATACCTTACATACTTAGCGTTTTACACGTTCCAATGAACGCTGTCTTTACAAAATATTTATTCTAAGATAACAATAGCCTTGAATGCTTTTAACGTTCCAATAATTTAAGATTGGATTATTTTAAAACGAGATTATTGGAAAATTTTTTTTAGGACAAACACTACCGTATGTTTTTTGTTCAATTAGGTTTTTGTAAAAAGACAAATATATCTATATGTATGTATATAAATTTTAAAATGTATATAAATTTTAAAATATCTAGTGTTAAGTGACATTTTGAAAAAAGAAGATATATCAAAACTAATATTCTTTACAAAAAATATTGAAATGGACAATCCTCGACTGACGACGTAACAATGTCGGCATCAAGACTGATGACTGACAACAACCGAGGTGGTCTGCCACCTGCGCCCGTGCCAAATATTGACAATACACATGACACGACACAACTATGTAGAGTTACGGAGCTTCGGTTTGACTAGTAAACACATTAATCGTCACTGTTTATACTCCCACTAATGACACATTATTAAACTTTATGCAAAATATTCTACAGATGAATATATTAACAACATTTTTGAATGTATCTTTAATAATCGTTACAATGGTCACAATATTTTTATCAATCAGTAACACAAATAAACGTCTATCTCTCCCCTGCCAGAGTAACATAGGTCTAAGCCCGTCAATGTCGTGTGTTTCTTTGTGTCGCTCCGAGAAAACCCTGTCAATCACGCGTCAGCGAATGGATTTCTGTCCGTCTGTCTGTGCAAGACGCGTAACTCGACTCTGAAAATCCACTTAATCTTTATTGACATCGCGTCGTATTACAGTGGTCTGTGACCTCGCCGAACAAAAGTGTCGTCTATTAAAATGTCATAAAGATAATAATCGCACTAACAATCTTTTATTAGCTGGCCGTCTTAAGGTCGCTTTAGATTTTTCTTTTTTCGTTTTTAATGTGAATTAAGTTACGTCACTTAGTAAGTATGTGTATGTTTTTCAATAGGACCATTTAAGATGATATATTTATATTAAAAAAAATTCTTACACAAACCTGAGACTTTTTAATACTGTATCTTATTTTGCCCCATTTTAAATTTCTAGTTTGGTATAGAATTTCTCATATCAAAATAATTCATATTAATTTCATCATAATCATCCATTTTAGATTGATGAGCTGTCGTCTCGAGATAGGCATTAAATGTTAAGGAATATCGCTAGAAATAATACTTTAATTATGACACATTCATTAAGGCAGCTTGTATATAAAACTGGTCAGGATGACGCGATGTACAAAAAAGGTCCAAAATACAAATGTCATTCGTCATGGTTGACGTGACACCTGTGTCGGAGCTGAAGCTGTGTCAAAAATAAACACGGTCGTGATCGCCGACCTCGGCTTTCAACGAGCATTGTCCGAATGAGTCGCTGGATTGAGGATTGGAGATAGTTTAATATGGACATTACTATTACTTAAACATTACGTTATATGGCATAACCTGCTTCATTTGTATATCGTTGTACTTTAATAAAAAAATAAAAAGTAAAGTATCAAGATCGATACGTAAGTAAGTATGGTAATTATTTTTTTCTATTTTTAATATATATCAACAAGGCCAGATCCACTTTAAACGAACCATCCAAAATCAATTTTCGCCACAACTTTAAAGATAACCAGTTGATTGATTGATGTTTGTTCGGGGCATTTAGAGTCTACCTGGCATGTGCTCTTATTGATATTAAGATATACCACATTATTGTATAGTTATACATCACCACGGACCACAGCCTCTTATTAAAGCTGACAGCTCTCAATCAGCGATTTGACCCGTTCGTGGAGCCGGCGAGGGCTTTAATTGAATTGTCTATTATTTACAATCGATCAAGGTGTTTACATGATGGAAGCCTCCCACAAAAATTAAGTCCATTTAGGATGCCCAATTAGAGTGTCAAATTATAGTGTGATAAATACAGAACTGGTGCGGCCGAATAAAATATTAATGATTTATATATAAGTATTATTTAAAATACCGTACTCTAACTCACAACCATTAGATTAATTTAAGTGGTAGGTACATATTAAAAAAAAAACTAATATAAAAAAATGTAACGTTATAAAATTTTATTAAAGAACTAATGCTTAATATATAAATTGTGACATAAATAGTGGATATTAATGTAAATTAATATTAAAAATAAATAAAATATTACCTTTTAGTCATTGCATTCAAAAAAATATTGAAATATTTATGAGTAAATAAATCTATTACATACAAGTTTTAATATTCATGTTTTATTATACGCATAGGTACATTTAATATACTAAATTATTTGTTTTTTTATATTAAACCTAGTGTCCTGAAATCTTCGTCCGCGTTAGTGGGTCAAGAGTAACTATGTAGGTATAGCTGACCAGGCGAACTCTATTCTAAGAGGCCATAAATAATCAGGTTTTTCCTGTTTCATCAAACAGAATGATTGACATATTAGTTAGTTGTCAAATCTAATGTCAAAAAAAACTTTTGTATGGGAAATAGAAAAGGGCTGTTTTTAGGGTTTTCTTATTCCAATTTTTCTCACCTTTTAAACCTTCCCTGGACAGGAGTATTTGGAGATTAAATTTAGCCAAATCCGTTCAGCTGTTCTCGAGTTTTAGCGAGACTAAGGAACAGCAATTTTTTAATATATAGAAGAAGAAGATGAATAATTACCTATAGCTTATACACAAGGTATTATGAATAAAATTACTTATAGCTTATACAAAATTAATAAGCAGTAAAATTTTTCGGTCTAAAAAAAAGTCAGTGGGAGTAGATAAAAGGGGATGTTTAAACAAAATGGAACAAAAAATGCAAAAGAAGGCCTAACGCAAGTGGTGTTAAAAGTTTGCGGATCATCCATACGTATAGTTGTTCAGGAGCACATAGAAATGCAAATGAATGCACTTCTTTAACGCCGTCTCATCGTTATTGCGCTCCTGGGGCACCTTCACTGTAACGTGGCGACTCCATTTTGTATGCGCCATTTTCTTTGTCAGCTTAGCAAGAGTGGATAGAAATGTAATGATCCCAGCTAAATTCAAGACTTAGGACACCACCGGTGCTGTATTTTGTTCCTCTTTTCTTATGTTAAATACATAAAACGAAATTTATCTGTTCATATCAATATAATGGGTCTGAATATAAAATAAACAAAGTATATGTCTTGCATTTCCTCCAAAACTTTAAATTAATTCCGTCACCTCAAAGTCAAAGCACGTCCCTCTTGTTTTGAAGTTGGTCCCCGTAATTGAATGACGCAATCAATAAATTGGTTTATCAATCTGATTGATTGGCAAGTCTGTCGAGTCACGGCCGACTACAGCCGACGTGGCTACGGCTTGATCTTGAGCCGTTTTGCCTGCTATGATTTATTGGTTTATTTGCAATAAACTTGACACGTCAATCCATCTTCAAGCACTGCATCTCGTCTCTCATTCCTTTTTAGGCGATAAAATTCGTATTTTAATTCGATTCTCGTGTTTTAGTTTGTTCGATTAATTGCGTCGCGTCGTGTTAATCGATTCGAGATCTTATCGATTTTGTTTATTTGTTTTGCAACTAAATACCGATGAACACGAATGCATCGGAAAACCCGTCTTGATTACTTGAATTATAATTTTTTGTGCTATCGATCAATGGTATATCTAACAATTTGATAATAACTGATTGCTTTATTAAGCAGTCAAGTATACATATAAATATATTGTACAATATATATTGTACTACAATAAAATGTAGTTTAATAGTACGTTAGTACGTATTTGCATCACATTTAAATTATTTGTTGGTCTTTGTTCCTTCCGCCCATACATTATAAACCTGACCTACAGAGTAAGGGCTGCCAAAGATACTTTAAATATTAACATTGATATTTATTAATTTTCTATCATTATTTATTAATCTTGGCGATATAACAGATAAATCTTAGGTACATATCTCATAATGTTATTATATAAAATACAACTTACTAAACTTTTTGCGTTAATACTAATGAGAAATTAATAATATGAATACATCATGAAGATTCATGGCATACATTGTAAAGTTTTGTGTATGAAGTTGATCGAATAATAAGAGGTCGCGTCCCTGACGAATGAGATGCATCTCGCGCTATCAATCAGTGGGAGTCGAGACGAGAGCCTGAGGGCGCGGGTTCGAACCTGTGCAGATCAGAGATAACGCCCCCGTGATACTATCAGAACAGATTATTATTAGTAACGTAATATATTGGAAAAGGAATGTTACAGTATCGAGAGGGAACAGAGTCGGTTTCTTTGATTTAATTAGTGTGCCAATTGACCGCTGGTCATTCTTATAATAATATATTAACAAAAACT